AGAAGGTTTGTTCTCTTCATTAACATTTTGGGTTCAAAATTTTGGATCACAAATATTGTGGTTTAACATACTAACATCTACTTTGAGAAAGATGGAAGAATTTGCAAAGTTGGGATACTCAGTAATGTGAGGCAGAATATTGGGAGAGAGATCCGAAAGGAAGAGAGACCTTCACCCAATAACCAAAACACAACGCAACAGCACAAAGACAGAGAACACTTGGAATCTCTAGACACTTCTTTTGTCTCCTCCTAACACTTATTCAAACCCTAAAAGAGCCAAAAATATTCAAATCACACCCACACGAACCCCACTCATTCTCTCTACAGTGTTATCTATTGCCTTCAATTGTGACTTTTGCTCTTAACAATCCAAATACGCAATGCTCTTTTAACCATCCTAATAAGGATGAAATCGTGGGAAGATAATTCATAAGTGTAACATATCAATTAATTACAGCTGGTTTTTTAAGACAAATTTTTCTAAATTTAGTCAAGGTATAACTTAACTTTGTTTTGTCAATTAGTCAGTGTGATTTGAAGTTTTGAACAATTCAAAAAAATTTCTAAAAATGAATATTGACCATTGAGCTTACTAGAAAAAGAATGGGAACTGATAGAACTTTTCTCTTTCTATCTTATTGGGAATGTTCATATTTTTCAAAATACGAACCTCGTCAAATTGTGTTGATGAACAGTTTACTCACATCATCTAACAATTAAAAATGAATAAAAAAAAGGTAAAAATTAATCTTTTAACGTTTATAGACAATAACTGGGATTCATATTTATTAAGAGGGGGGGTGGTCTTTTGCACCTTATGGGGCGTATGTTTTATTATAGGGTTATATTATATTAACGGAAAGAAAGATCACCTTGAAGATTACTGGGAATGTTTAGAAAATTTGGTTGGTTCGAATAAATTGGTGAATAATATGTTTGGTTGAGAGGATAAATGGATGGGTATGTTATATAAATTACTAAATTGCCCTCCTTTTTAAATATTATATAATAGTATTTTTTATTATTATTTTTTGAATGATTTCTTTTAACCAGTTACATTTGAAATTTTGCTAAAACACCCCAACCATATAAAACTTTAATTTGTAGCAAAATCACCCCCAGCCACCTCAAGCCACTGTCGGCAGCCAGCCACCACTACTGGCAATCGATAGAATGGTGCACGACTAGCCGTATATGGCCCGTCGTGCATCGATAAAGCTGGAAATGGCCATGGATCACAAATCCATGGCCTTTTCACTGCCAGATCTATGGCCATTTCACGGCCAAAGATGTGGCTGTGAAACGACCACAGGTCTGGTAATGAAAATGCCAGATCTTTGGCCGTGAAATGTCATAGCCAAAGATCTGGCCTTTTCACGGCTATAGAAACGCCAGATTTGGTTGTTTTTGAAGCATGATCGGCCAAATCCCGCTGATCGTGCACCATTACAGCGACTGACGCAAGCAGCCGACGGTGGTGAGTCACTACCGGCAGTGGTCTTGGGTGGCTGAGGGTATTTTGTTAACTTTTAAGCTTTTTTGTAGCTACGGTATTTTAGCTAATTTCTCAAATATATGAGGGTTGGGTAATTGTTATTTGGTAGATATTTGATGGCAATTGTGTCGAAATGGTTTTTAATTAAGGGCAAAACGGGAAGAAAAATCATATTACCCTGGTAATGTTTTAATAATAGCCTCTAACAAGGTAATAAGATTACACCCCACATTACCAATAGTAATCACTATTTGTAATAAAAGACTACCGTAATATTTTATTACTTGGAAACCAAATACAAGAATCTTTCAAAATAAACAAGTATTACCTTTCTTATCTTATTTACCCCCGATCCAAACGGCCCCTTACAAATAACTTTATAGAGACAAAAAGGGCATACAAAAACCTACACTAATTCACAATCTAAGAGGATAATTAACTTGTACTTTTATTCTAATAAACTTATATTATTGATAAGAACTTAAAATTAATTAACTCCAAAAAATCGCACTAGACAATCCAAAGACGCAATGCTCATGTAAGCATTCTAGTAAGGATGAAATCACGGGAACATGATTCATAAGTGTAACACATCAATTAATATTAGTCTAATTTTATTTATAATTAATTAATCTCTCTTTCTCATTCATTTCTTTGTCAAATTTATTATTAAAAACTTTAGACCAATAACCCCAAGGAGAAAACCCAATACATTAATAAATAAATTAAGCTAGAATCTCTTACTATACTTTTCAGAGAAAATAAAGAAAAATTTGAGTCTGTTTCATTGCAAATTAAGTCTCTTAATTTAGTGCAACTAACAATAAGGTGACAAATAACGTTGAATTATCAACATCAAACGAAGTTTGCAGAAATGGGTTGGATCCGAGGCTTGAGGAATATTGGTTTACCTAACGAGCTACAATTGGTCAAGTTGATTTTGTATATTGTGGGTACAAGTAAGATCAATTCTTTTTTAATTCCTAAGTCTACAAGAAATTAATCTTTTAGTATTGTTTGTTGCATATTAACTCCTTCAATCTAATGGTTAAAATCTAATGTCAAATTGTAACATTTAAAGCCACAAACCTAGATTGTCAAAGATTATTGTTTCTCTTTCAAGTTCATTAGGGTACACAACACGAGTTTGTTTCGGGGTTGAAATATTTATCACAAGGTTGGTTATTGAGGGCAAAGTAGATTTAGAATGACGTGTGTTGTATAAGTGGCTTGCTATGTCTATGAACACCCGATTAACTGATTTTGTGAATCGAACCAGTTTTTCGATTCAAAAATTTTCTTAAACTGAAACCGAACTAGTTAAGGCGAAAACTGGTTTTTCGGTTAATCAATTAGTGAAAACCGGTTAACTAGTTTTGAACTGGTTTTAATTTAATATTTTATATACTTTTTAAATTTAATATTTTTATAATAAACCACATTTTTTATTTTAATTTAATCAATATTCTCCTAAACTGGTTTTGATTTTTAATTTTCTTTAAACCGAAACGAAACCAGTTTTTCGGATATCCGAAAATTCAGTTCGATTTGGTTTTTGCATTTTTTTTTTTAACACGTCTAACTATGTTGTGTGCTGCATCATGATACAATGAATCTGATGCTTGTTCTAATTTTTCGAACACTTATATTGCATCGGTAAAACCTAGTTTTCTTTTTGTGTTGGTAGAATTATGAATTATAAGAAAAATATATATACGTGTAATAACTCAACAACTCTGTCCAGCTTGATACTTAGTAGTAGATTGTTTAAGAAAGTTAAGTTAAAATATCTTAATAAATTAAATATTAATTTTTTTTTGTTGAGTAAGATTATGTTTTGTTTGCCGTGTATTCTTGTTCAGGAAGTCAATGATTTAACTTGCTCAAGTAGTTAATTTCCTTGATAATTCTTGGACAAATATCAATGTCAATGCTTAATTTTGTCAATCAAAATCATTAACTAAACAATAATTAATTAATTTTACCATTAAAAAGGGAGAGTTGGTCGAATCTCACTTGCCACAACACACTGAATTTCAACATGGAAACTTAGTGAATTTCCGGGTTCTTCAAGAGAAAATTAATTAATTAAATAATTCAACAAGAAAAAGACATGAATTTGATCCCAAATTTTGGGATAATCTTGCCAACTCACACTAAATAATTTAAGATTAACTTGTTAAATATATGAGATCAACGTCATACTAAGTTGAAAATTTAGATGTTGCTGGAGCAATTAAATTAATTCAGAGGATTTAATTAATTAATTAATTAATTAGAAGAATCTATTCTGATTTCAACACAAAATTAAACTAGCTAGATTTAGATTTTATTATTCATTGGGGTGGTAATTTTGGCGAAGATTCAGCCTCAATAGCCGTTCTCGAGCTGCTTGCTGGATATTTAAAACTTGATTAATTGTTAATTATTCTTAAACCTACCCTAGATTTCACCACTAATTAATTGTTTAATCACTCTCATGTTATTGTCAAAATTTAATTACCTTGATATGCACATAAATAAATAAATAAAATTTACCTTGATGGGTTATTAATTATATATAATACCCGGAGCGAAAGTCATATAAGTAGAGGACTATATTATCCATTGTATTTTATCACGAAAATTCACAGGTGTTAACGTCCTGTGTTTTTGCTGAAATTTTGTATTTCAATGCAAAACCATCGATTAAAATAATGTATAAAAGAGAGAATAACTTTCTATATAAAACACCCATATAGAAATTTAGGTTTCATAGTTTCACATCATTATATTTGTACATTCGTGAAATAAACTTATGTCACATAAAATTTAAATTTTTTACTTTTATCCATTAACAGTTATCATAATCGGTGATTTTCAAAACCCAAACCATATAATATGACATTATATTACCATATGAGGTATTAACACTAAATAAATTACGGTATAGAGGGGATTTTACTATAACATATGATTGTACTAATACAATTGTACTTAAACTTGTGACCTAAATCGTAAAAATTATAAACTAGCTAAAGTCTACTGAAAATTAATTAATTTCTTGAGTTTTGCTTTTATTTAAACTTAATTTTGTCTTGTTGTAGGTGGTCATTTTGTTGGATTTGAACACAAAATATTTAGGATAATCCACCCAAATAACTAAAGTCCTGCCATTGGAACCACCCCACAAATGGTTTAATTTTATTTTTATCAAATGCACATAAGGCTGGAAATTCTCTACCTCGCAATGCACACATAAGATTAGCAAGAAGTGCCACAATTTCAAACCTTGTAAGCGCCTCTTTAGCCAGCTTTTCTCATTTCAAGTCTTTTTATCAATGTCATATCCAATTCAATAAATTATAATAAATAAATAAATTAAAAAAGCCTCACACCTCAGCTAGGATCAGAAAAAGTTAATGGCACAACTTTAAAAAACCTAAAAGTCAAGTGGCAAATTGGTAATGAATTCCCTTTATAAACCAATTTGAACAATACCGTCTATGGTAAATTAGCTCATCCCCATTACACACAAAACAAAGAAAAAAAAATGGTTAGCCCTTCACACCTAAAATCCCTGCAACACCTTCAAGCTTTATCAATGAAGTCTTCTTCTTCTTCTTCTTCATCTTCCACCACCTTAACCTACAATAAAGTCAAAACCCTAATCCACACCTTCATTTTCTCCCACGTATGCCGCCTTATCCGCGCTCTCGCGAAGGCAAAATCAATTTTCATTGAGATTGTGAAGGATAACATTCACGCTAAGCACTTCATTCTCCCATCAAAGACATCAAAATTGAACAAGCACAAGAAGAAAATATTTTTCGGGTCGTTTCGGCTGCACTACAACTGGTGTTCTTCGCATGTGACACCGGTGCCAGCGCCAATACTCGATGAAGCAACGCATTTTTACTATGACTCGACGTGGAATTCAGTAATTTCAACTGAACAAAGTGATCATCACGAAGGTGAATCTGAACTCTCCGGGTACCTCCATTGGCTGGAAGAAAAAGTTCGCGATAATAATAATAACAATAATGCTTCAAGTGAGCAGAAGATGAATGAAATTGATCGATTGGCTGATGTTTTCATTGCAAATTGCCATGAAAAGTTCAGGTTGGAGAAGCAAGAGTCATACAGGAGATTCCAGGAAATGCTGGCCAGAAGCATGTGAAGATGAAGTGTTTGTTACTTTTGAATTTTAATTATAATTTTCTCTTTTTTTTTTAAAAAAAAAAATTTGCTTTCCCATTCTTCTATGTTTACATACGTTGGTGGGGTGAGGAAAGTACAGTGATAATTATTGGGCTGATTAGTTTAATATTTTTGGTTTTTAATTTTAATTTTCTAACTTTTTTAATTTTAGTTAATTAGAAGTGAGAGATGGGAGATTTTGAGTGAATTGTACATTATTTATGTGCAATTCTTATCTTATAATTAATGTTAATGGCTTGCAATTTTCTTCTTCTTCTTCTTCTTCTTCTTCTTCTTCTTTTTTAATGTATTAATTAGACAGAATATTTGCAGTCAAGGTTAAGATTAAGCTTGATTTTGGGAAAAAATGTATATCTAATTTGTTAAAGTGAAGTCCTCCTTATGTGTAAAGTAGTTTGCATCACTTATTATAGTCAATAAAATTAAAACTTTGAGGGAAAAGAAACCTAAACCTTATCTTAATATAAGAGGATTGATTACTTTTTTTTTTTCTTTTTTAATATTCATAGCCTCGAGAGTAACAATGTTTAATTAAACAAATAAATTAACATATGCTATTGCCAATGTAATTTGGATACTGACAAAGCAAGCCTAATTAATATAATGTATAAATTATCAAAATAAATAAACAATAAATACTACTCGATATTATAAAAAAAAAATTAATTATCAAGATGGAGGATGCTTAATCAATTTCACTAGACCCTAAAACTAGGGTTTCATGACAGAAGTTTCTCACAGTGATTGGTGATGCATTTATGATTTAGGTTAATGTGCTAATGATTGTGAGGCATGATTTGATTTTGAGGCTGAGCAATTGGACCAAGTCTAGGTAGGATGAGTTCATCCTCAATTCACCTGCCCCAAAACCTCACCTAACTCGGAGAAAATGTGAAGTTTCATCCTTATATGCATGTCACATAGCAAGCATAGTAAAGTTGGATAAAATTCATTAGATAAAATTCATTAAAATATGAAGGTTTTTGTACCTACTCGGAATAATTGATTTCTATATGAGATTTTGTCTGGAGAATATGTACCCATATCAATCAATCCAATATCATTCTAGCTAGTTGCATGTTTATTATTTTTTACATGATATTGATAGAATGTGATAGTTGTCTTCAATTTGCACCCCTATCATCACTACATGATTGATAGAATGTGTAAATAGTTGCATTGAATTTATTTGCATCTTGATCCTCTCGAATCAAAATTTTGTTCTAATCTGAACTTAGAAAAACCTCTTGACCGATTCAAAATTCTCTTATGATCTGAATTTAAAAACGATAGAGTACTTAGATTTCAAATATGTATACAACATGGATGGTAAATTCAAAAGTGAAGTAGGAAAAATGTGAGAAATGAGAGAGAAATATGAAGAGGTTGCATTCTTGTGCATGGCAATATTCCTTATGCCAACTGCTTTATACCTCATTTTCACAGTCACAAGCATAGCAATAGCTTCTCTTTTTAAAACCATGACATGGGAACAAAATTAAAGAGAACAATTATAAGGTTAAAATGTGGTAGGACCAACACAAATTTTTTTTTCATTTTTATAATAGAAAATCTTGATGAATCTCATATGATCAAACAAAGCACATGCTCATGACAGAAGCTTAAAGAGAGAGAGTTCATGACATTTGCAAAAACTTTATTCTGTATGAAATTAATGTCAACCACCACTGACATAGGAATTCAGGGTATGAAGAGATTTCCTCTTTAATTGGTTTTGCAAATGAAGTTCAAGAACAAATTATATTTCTTGCACTTAGTTGCAAAGGGACTTTTCTTGCCCCAAGTTATATATATGTGTTTATACCACATGCTGATATGTAACTTGGACAAAATTAGAAGCTATGATATGTGTTAAGGAAGATTTTTAATACTAAATCATCATTGGATAGTTTGATGGTAAAAGAGTAAAAAGATGTTCTATGATCTCCTGAATATAAATAAAACACAAATAAAAATAGAAATAGAAAATAAAAAACAAAAAAAAAAAATAATTAAAAAAAAAAAAAAAAAATAAAAGTAAAAAAAAAAAAAAACAAAAACAAAAAAAAATAAAAAAAAAAAAAAAAAAAAAAAAATAAAAAAAAAAAAAAAAAAAAAAAAAAATATTTAAAACATTGAAAATACATGTATGCATGTCAAATGTAATCAAATTCTTGTCGTTTACGACAATATCATAGTTATGAAGTAGTTCCATTTGATATGAGCTATTGTAGTGTCTCAGATTTGTGTACTGCTAAGGACAAATGACAACACATATACATTCAAAACATTTAGAGATGATGTTAGAGCATGGATATGACGATTCTCTAACATCTCATATCTGTATCACACTAAAGATAAACCATGGTTATATTTTTGGTGAAAGATTTAAGTATATTGTATATGTTTCATGTAACAATAAAGTTTGAAATATATTATATTCCATCAATTACAAAAACAAAATAACATCCAAATGTACTAAGAAGATTTAAACAACTAAAGTGCATAGTGGGGACCTAGCAATTCAAGCCATGGCTCCATTGCTTTGGAGTTTGAGCAAGCAACAGTGAAGATGTAATCTTGAGCCAAAAATAATTATAAAATTGAGGTAATCTTTTTAACTTCCAGGTAGTAAATAGAGAGAAGCCAAAGCCAAAGACAAAGACAAGACTAGTCAAGCTCTAGAAGTACTTTTGTACTAAGTGTTTCTTCTCTTCTCAGTTCTCACTGTAAATAAATAAAGAAAGTGGGTGAGGCATCAATTTTTTTTTTTCTTCTTTATTCCAAAACCTTCTTTGATACACCTTTAAGTCTTTAACAGAGCTAAATTGGTTCCTTTGTTCTCTATGTTTCACCATTTTTATGTATCTATGTAGACTTGCCTTTACATAAAAGTTGAATGCATGGAACTTCTTGGAATTTTATTCTTATTAGAATAAGCTACAGAAAAGTTAATTTGTCACTTCAAATTAGCTTAGGGGGTAATTTTTTTTTTTTTACCATTTGGTTTACATGAGATTTATATCAAACGTCATAACATATTTTCGAGACGTGTAACATCAGAAAAATGATACTACAAATTTTTTTTTTTTTTTTTTTTTTTTGGCCAAACAAAGATACCAAAATATTATAAAACATGTTTGGTTGAAATGAGTGGGTGGACGTTTCAAAAACGAACTCTCGGATATAATTTTAAAAAAGTGTAAAACTAGAAAATGAAGAAAAAAAATTATTTTCTCAATTTTCTATAACTTAATCTAAAAATAGGTTTCAAACGTGATATTAAACATAATTTCAATATTAATATCATGATATATAACTGAAGTCTTTGAATCGAACTTAGTTTTTAACAGTGTTTTTCGGAACATAAACCAAACAATTCTATTATTTTCCCTATCTTCTTTATATATTATATATTATATATATATATATTATATATATATATATATATATATATATAATATATAAACTTTTTTCAATCTTGAAATAAAGTCATATATAAACTGGCAGTGTGATTTTAGCTAGATAGCAGTTTAATTATTATGTTTATTATGGACATGCTTTTTTGTAAAATTGGTCATAAGTCTTTACTTTAGAGCAAAGTCCAGACATTGTTTCAGCAAAATACTTTAAAAAAAGTTTGAGTTTCAGGATTTGTTTTGGAATTTCTGTTTCTGATTTCAAAACATGTTGTGAGAAGTTGGCAACATGTTTTCAAGGTTACCCACTACGAGTTACACATTTTGGCGTTAGAAAATATTTGAAAATATTCTTTGTTCTCTCAATTGGGTCCAATTTATCTTACCATAATAATGAATTATTCAATAATTTTGAACAAAAAAAATTAAATATATACTTATTTTTATTGCATACATGTAAAATCAAATAATATTAAGATCCAATTAGACAGTAAACTATAGTTACAAGATGGGTTTAAAATAATATAACTTAAAATTATATTTGTTTATTACAGCAAAACGATGTGCATTTATTGGGCTGGGCCTAACCATGCATTTCGGCAAGCTGAGCGGCCCACTTCTTTCCTTCTAAGAGTCCATGTTGTAGATGGGCTTGAATCACATCATACTCTGAGCCCAAGCTTCCGGGCAGGCTTAATTATACTTTGATTGGATCTCGGAAATTAAACGGAACATTCATTTTACAAACAGAAAATTCTTCATTGATCGTGTGTGTGTATATATATCCGTCTAATTATAGTGTGACATGTCATTACATGTGGATTTCATCTGCACTGTGGTTAGATGGACACACATACACTTGTCTTATTGAAGATTTCTTTTAATGTTTAATATTATATAATCACTTTTTCCGAGCATGTTTGGTTGCATCTTAAAAGAGTTTATAAAATTATAAATAAGTTATTTTACGGTCTATGGGAGAAGTTCAAATCCTATAAACTCTTTTTAAGTTTTTTCCTATAAGCTCTTTGAGCTTATTTGAACCGTTGAAAATTTTAAATATTTCTTTATTCTATTATATAAATCTAACTTAATTTAAAACCCACTTTGAAAAACTAATTCTGAAAAAACACTTCAATAAGCTTTATTTGAATAAACAGTTCCAAACGGGCTTTTTCTTCTTTTTCTTCAATAAGCTATACATGTTCAATAAGCTACTGTGACAAAACAATGTACAGCTATTAGGTTGGGCCTAACCATGCATTCCCTCAAGCTGAGCGGCCCACTTCTTTCCTTCCCCACATTATAGTCTGAGCCCAAGCTTTAAAGCAGGCTTAATTATACTTTGATTGGATCTCGGAAATTAAATGAAACGTTCATTTTACAAATCGAAAATTCTTCAGTTAAAAGTGTGTATGTACATCTGTTTAATCACAATGTAACATGTCATTACGTGTGGATTTCATGTGCATTGAAGATTTCTCTTGATATATAAAATCATATAACGACTTTTTTCGAGCCTGTTTGGTTGCATTTTAAAAGTGTGTATAAGATTATGAATTAAGTTTTTTTAGGACTTATGAGAGAAGTTCAAATCTTATAAGCTCTTTGAGCTTATTTAACTTCATAAAAGCTATATTTTCATAAAATCTAGTCTAATAACCTCCACTTCAATAAACTTTGTTTGAATAAACCGTTCCAAACAAACTTTTTCTTCTTTATTATATGATATAAATGTTGAATATGTAACAAACGTTATGACAATTCTAAATTAATGTTACAGTATTTGAGATCGATATAAACTCAATAGAACGGTAACGATACTATTGATTGAGTACCAACAAAAATCTTGTGATACACAATCAAAATCCAACAAATAGCCCCAAAAAATTGTCATATATACATTGTCAGATTCAAATGAAGGAGCTGTAAAGGCAGAAATGTACCTAAAAGGTACATGGGCAAACAAGAAAACACTAAGCAACTTTGACAAGCCAACGTGCGTTTCATACTTTCCATTCTGTCGTATTGGTGCTGTGGTCATTGGCACATGAACACTATGAATGTCACTTGCTCTCTTACAGCAAGAGACAAAGTCTGGAAGCCAAGATTTGCAATAAATTAAGGCCTTAAAGTAAAGTGCTCCATGTGGTTTCCTTGAGCCCCCCTTTGAAAAGAGTCATGATCTTTAGTTGTTATTCAACACCTACCATCTTGGACTAATTGAAAACATTATTGAAGTTTAAGCGATCTTATAGTAGTGTTAGTCGGATTCTATGATTCTCTACATATGTATACATCGTTGAATCGACCTCACATAGTAGAGTTCGTAGAGTAGACATTGTTGAACGACCTCGTATAATGGAGTTAGTCGAACATTATAGTTTAAAAAACTCTAATTCTTTGATGTATGTATCAAGAGTCAAAATATTTGACTTGTTTTGAGACATAAAGATTATGATACATAAAACGAAGATGAATAAAAAAAAAATTGTATGGATAATAGTATGATCTTGTTCCAATAATGTTATCAAACTCGAATAGTCATTTGAAAAGATTCGTGATCTTTGAATGTTATTTTGATACCTACCATCTACCATATTGAATTAACCTTGCAATATACATAGTTAATCAGATCCGAAAATTCAAATAACTTCAATTATTAACACATTTACGGGAAGTCAAGCTATACCCAACTACCGTTGAGAGAGAGAGAGAGATTACAATAGATGTCAATAGATATGACATTAAGAATCTCATATCGATAATATTATGGTACTGTCTCAATAATATTTTCAAATACATATTGTTAGATCCAAGTACTAAGATTAAATAGTTTTAATTTTCTTGTAATATTTATATATATGTGACCCTTTTTGAAATCAGTACAAATTAAGTTTTTTTATTTTTTGTGATTTTAAGAATAATACCACACATGTGAAAGTGGGTCCAAATAAATGGCATAATTATGTACTATATATTTAGAAATTGATTTAATTTAAAAATATTTATAGCGTAAATTAATATGCCATAACTTTTACTAGATAAATCTAGAATACTTGTGGATGATACAAATAGCAGGCCAACTGATCCATTAATTTCTTTTATTAATTTAACAACTTGATTTTTAATCCTGTTTAAAAAAATTATCCAAATAATTCAAGGGAAGATTTTAATTTTCATCCAATCTCTGTATGTTTCCCAGGAAACTAGAGGCACAGGGAAAGAAAATATCAATAGAAAATTAGAAATCTTATACGTACAAATTATCTACACTTTCATTACGTGCAACTAGCTCTCTAATACAAAAGATCTATCTCTCTCTCTGTAACTAAGCTTGATTAATAAATAAAATAATCAATTTACTTGTTCTGAATAGGATTTGCGAGGCTTGGCGGGGCTTTTCTGAAGCTAGACTCCACAGCTTTCTTGGGCTCTTTCATGGCGGCTCCTCCTCCATGAATCAACTTGTTGAAGCTTGCAGAAACTGAAGCCATGGAGAACAAGAGCTTTCTGCTTTGGCTTTGGCTTTGGCATTGCCTTCTCTGAGACTGAGAATAATTTTCATTAACATTATTGCATGAACATAACGAAGAGCTGATGAGAATCCAGGACATTAAAAAGGCTATGAAACTCTTGTTGCAGTTGTTCATGATCTTCATGGCGTTTTGGGGAAACTATAGAAGAAGATCTAAAAGCACTTATTGAGTAGGTTTAAATAAAAGCAGCTTGCATGCTTTTTCACTACACGTGGGCTGTGATTAAACCCTAAAATAAAATATTATGTGCTTTATAATGTTTCATTTTTTTATTTGATTTTTTTGGCTACTTTATGTTCTTATGTATTCATACCTATTAGAGCTCGAAAATGTTTACACAGTTAATGTTATAGTCATTTTTAAATAAAATCAACAAATAAATTATAGTCAAATGTTACAAAATATAATTTGATATAGTCTATCCCTCCTTTAATTATATTATAAAGTTTTTAAGAAGTAATTATTGGATTAGGGAAAAACTTTGGAGTTATCTGAATTTTCCTTATAAATTATTCTAGTAAAATATATAATGATAGGTTAATAAAATTGATTAATCAATAATTACATTAATGGAGTATGGTAATTAATAAAAATATATATATATAATTAAACATTTTTTTTTTACTAAGTTTGAACTTGAAGCCACATACATGTGATCCTTAATTGACTATTAATTACTGTTTAAGACTAATCATGTGATTAAGCACGTGAATCCTAATCATCTATCCATCCATTAATTTTAATTAACTTAATTAATTGCAAATTATGTTTCTGTAAAAATTATTTTAAAAAAAAAATTATCAAGTTCTATATATAATCATCAAAGGGTAAGAGGCAATTTTTAATTATTTAAAAATTACTCTAAAATACAATATTAATTAAATAATTAATCCTAGATTTGGTTAGGAAGATCTGTTTAATTAATTAGAATTATAATTAATTAATTAAATTTTACCCCAGCTAGACTTTAGCTGGCTTGTCAGCTGATTAAAATATGAAATTTCAAGTTTCCAATACATTATTTATTTATATTATTAAAATGAAATTAATTTAATATCTTAATTTTATTATTTTTATTATAATATTTTCCATAATTGACCTAAGCATTAGTCATACATACTACTTCAACTGAAATCTTTGTCTCTTTGCCTTTCATTTCATATAAGTTTTGGAAATTAATAATCTTATTTATTTACATATTTAACTGTGTCGGATTTTGGTTAATTTTTCCACCTCCGAGAGATGAGGTTATTGATACCCCCCACATTTTGAAAAAGTACTATGCACCCCCCTTGCCGTCAGTTAAATTTTAAGTTCCTTCCATTTTTGTTAAAAGTCTATTTTGCCCTTTTCCATATTCCTACTGAAATTTTTTTCAAAAAAATTATTACACAAAGTTTGGAAACTGACAGATTCACCCCTGCAACAAGCTAGGGTTCTTCCAAATTTTTTGTAAAGTTTATTTTGCCCTTTTCTTATCATTTAACATTTTTTTTTTTTTACAGAAAATTGTCTTACCAAATTGATCTAATAATAATTCATCTTACCAAATTTATCTAATCAAAATTCGTTTTACCAAATTGATCTAATAAAAAATAACAATTTTTAATTTAAGAGAAAGACCATAATGCCCCTTAAAATCAATTTTTAATTTAAAAGAAAGACCATAATACCCCTTCATTCAAGGGTTTTGATATTTTCCCTGAAATGACGAAAATAGCCTTGCTTTAGTTGACTTCATTTGACTTGTATAAACACCGTTTTGATGGCAAGGGGTCCATAATCCATATACTCTTCCATATCTCAAGGGGGTGGATAAATTAATCCTCGGATTTCGGGTTACTCGTGTTTGGGCTTCAATAGGGTTTATTTACAGTTAGCCCCACCGAAGAATCTCCAGCCCATTTGCATAGAGTTTGGGCTTCAATCAGCCCCAACAATATTGAATTGGGCTTCATAGAGCCCAAAGACCTAAGACCCAGATGGGCCTAAATTCAGATTTGGTCTCCTCACCTAAATTAATGCCCTCTTCAAATTAAATTTTAGAATATTCGTTTTCAAAACCTACACAATTTTAATTTTGCTGATAAATTAAGTTTTAAAACCTACACAAATTAATTTTGAAATATATTAAAAATAATTAAAAAAACAATTCGAGGTTGAAATTTCTTCAAAAATGTAAGCTTTTTCAATCATTTTAGTAAGTATAATAATGAAAAACCCACAAATTTCAAACTACAACTAGAGCGTATAACCTAAATTATATTTTTGCATATTAATTTAAATTTTATAATTATATATAATTTCTTGAAATTAGTTTTCAAAAATTTATATACAAATAAAAAATTAAAATAAAATGGTATTTACTTTTATTAAAAGGAGATACAATTAAAATTAGAAAGAATAAAATAGGTCCATGAAGTTAGTAAAAGTTACAAATAAATCAAATGAAATTTCAGTAAGATCCGTTAAGTTTGTAAAAGTTCTATAAGTCCACCTTGAAAGGGAATTTTTTGTATAAGGAAAAAAACTTATAAAATTGATGAATACAAACCCCTCTCTCTTTCCCTCTCCCTCCTTAATCCATTTTCCTCTCTCTCTCTCTCTCTCTCTCTGTATACAGAACCTCTCTGCCTTTCACTCTTTAAACAATTCCCTCTAAAACCTTTGAAAAACCAAAAAAGAAAAATAATATATATATTTTTAAGTCTCTGTAACGGGCCTGAAACGGTAACGTTTCACCATTGCTATCCCGACGCGTGAAAATAATCAAAATCCCAATCACCTTCTTTCCTCTATCTTCTTTCAAACCCGCGTTTTAGCTTCATTTCTCGTTTTGACTGTCTGGGTTTCTTGTTTTGTTTTGTTTCTTCGACGAAGAACTGAGTTTTTTGCGGTTCTTCTTATGGAATATGAAGTTTGCGATAGTAGCGGTGAGTTATTATTATAATTATTTTTTTTTTTTCACATTGTTTTGTATTCAATTTGTTATTTTGATTCTAGTTTTGTGCAGTTCTATTGTGATCTTTTATGTGGATTAGGGTTTTTTTTGTTTTTGATAAAAACTGTTTGCATTATGGTGTTGTGGGTGATTTGGGAAATTAGGGTTTAGGGTTTTGATTAATTAGTTGGTAATTTTCGTTATGGAGTGATACGGGGTGTAATTACGAATTAGGGTTTAGGTTTTGTTCTGGGGTTGCTTTTGCTTGAACCTTTTTTCGTGCTTTATTGTGTTAAGGCTTGCAGAAATGCTTAATGCAATTTAGAATTTTGGGTTTTGTTTTTGTTATTGTTTGGAACATAGAAAGGGTTTATGAAAGAAACATAGTTTTATTATGTGTATACTTGAAAACCATAAAAACCTTCCCTTAACTGGTTTCAAGGTTCTTGTTTTGTCATCAAGATTGAGTTTTTAGCAAGAATTATGTGAGTGAAGTGACAAAAGTGGTCTTTTATCTTGGTTTCTCCCGTTAGTAGAATGAACTGCATGCGGAAATGAAAGAAAACAAAAGTAAAGTGACTTTGCTATTTGTGGAACCATATTGAAAGATTATTGCAAATGGCTTGCCGCTGTTTGGATTGTGCCAGTTGGCTATGCTGGTACGGTATGTTGTGTAATGTCAAAAAATTTAGAAGTGGTTTCAGACATGGAAATACGTAAAGGGGACATATGGAATGAAGGGTAAGTCGACAATGTTGTGTAGGTGTATATGTATCATGGAAAAAAAGTTGATAAAACTAGAGGACTTTAAGTGCTTAACTGTGTGGAAACTAATGAATCAGTAATTGGAATGCTCATACAGTCTACTGAGATGAAACAGAGTGGAGTCAAATAACAAAAATTTATTATGGAACTTTAAATTTAAAAAGTAAAATCTGAAAATTTTAATAGCTGGAGACATATCTTTCCAAATTAGTTTATTTTGTCTAGGCAATTTTTTTATTTTCATTTTGCTAGACTTATTTTTTTGTGCCTGAATTTTAACTTCTTGGGACCAATTTCTTTCTAGATTATTTTTCCATGTATTATATGTTTTGGAATATATCAATCTCCTTGTGGAAAAGTGTTAAATTTAGGAGGCGTTTTACATGTAACTTGTAGAAAATGATTTTTAATTTATCTAATTTGAAATTAAACTGAACACTAGAATCTACTTTATAAACTTTCAGACCATGTCTGTGAAAGCCTAAGGAGAGTGGATATAAATTCAAGCTTATCCTTGTAAATTTTCATGATGTATAGGTTTATTCACAGAAAACTGGAGGCGCTTTTTGCCGTTCCTAGCACTATGGATATAATTATTTGAATCCCCTTGTCATCTGACCTATATGTGGAATTAGATGTTCAAAGAATGATGTAATGTTGTCCTTAATGTGACAAAATTACCAACAACAGTGTTGACTACAAGTTTTTGTTATATTTATGATCCAGAACGTGCTCCAGCCAAAGTAAAACAGAATTCTTAAAGGGGTATAAGCTTTATTATGTTTCTTGTGCCCCCTGCTGTAACTTACCTTGTGAAGTTTGTACTGATTCTTCGTTTATATACTTGATTTCATTAGATTTTGTCATTGTTGTATTACATATTAAATAGTTTGAACTTATTATGGAATGATCTGATGTGAGATAACTGAAAAGTTGATATATCTTATGAAGCTTTAAACATCAATAAAATCCTGACATCTATCTATATCCAATGTATGGATTGATGATAAACCTTGCACAAGAGCGCCACACCCAAGACCATTTACTGTCCTTTTGATGCTTAATGCAATTTCTGCTCTATCTGTAATAATTTTGGTACTGATGATCATGTCATGTATGCGTTATCTGAATTGCAGGTACTGATGATGATCTTCCTTCACATCAAAATAGAGCTCGAATAGGTAGCCGTGTTACAGTGAATGGACGATCTGCTGTAGGTTCTGCCCCGTTTTCTAGGATGCATAGTGACATGGAAGCTCAAATTCATCAACTTGAGCAAGAAGCTTATTGTGCTGTTTTGCGGGCTTTTAAAGCTCAGTCTGATGCCATTACTTGGGTATTTACTTTTTCCTTTTTCTCATGTCTTTTCATACTACTGTAAATTAGTTTTCCTGCTATTTTTTTTTTTAATATTCCATTCGATCCCCTTCGTATAGGAAAAGGAAGGTTTGATAACAGAACTTAGGAAGGAGCTTAGAGTGTCAGACGATGAACACAGGGAGCTTCTGACCAAGGTCAATGGCGATGACATTATCAAAAGGATAAGGTTTGAATGCTTCATGAGAAATTTTCATTGTTGTCATAAGTAATTAACTGCAAGGAGTCTTGTGGCTTCTGACTGTTAATTGATCATTAATTTGATCAGGGATTGGAGACAGGCAGGTGGACACCAAGCTGCTAGGCTTGCCACATCTCAGCCTTCCCATGATCTGTTACCCAGCCCTAGTGTTTCTGCATCCCGCAAGAGACAGAAGATGTCTCAATCGGTATCTTATCTTTCACTCACTGTGCTATAACCTGATTTTTAATCTCTGCCAGCAGCTCCATTGATTCAGCCAATCATCTGTGGCTGCAAACTGAGGAGCTGCTGGGATGCAGAGGCAAAATGCTGAAATTTTCATGCCAATTACTTGTAATTGAAGGACAAAGATGACTGTAGATTGACCTGCATTTTTTTTTTTTCAAATTCTTAGCAGGGTCAGCAATTGCACAGTTTACCCATGATGAATCCATTGCAGTACACATCTGCCGGTGCTGCTGGAAATAGATCATTTGTAAATCGCAGTTCTTCTGGTGCCATTTCTGCAAATGAACCTGAAGGGGCAAATTCTTTAGTTGGAAGGAAAGTATGGACAAGATGGCCTGAAGACAACAACTTCTATGAGGCTGTCATTACTGATTATAATCCTGTAGAGGTATGTTCAAAGACCAACCTTTTTGCATTGTTTTTAATTTCTAGTTCACAGAATATTGATCATGTCTTCTTTATCTATTCTTTTTGCCTTTTTCTAATCTTTATATATTTTTCTATGTTTTTAAATCAATTGTTCCCATCATGACATTGGGTAAGAGGTTTTGGATTTAGGGGAAAAGTGCAAATTTTAGGCTTCACTTTTGAACTTGTGTGTCCTTAAGAGTTTAGAAAAGGTTCCTTCTCCATTCTCCAATGATCAGGAAGTTGCAATAAATTAATGAGCAGTATAGTTTTGTACCTGGTTTTTGTTCTGGGTTTTTGTTTTGGTGATGTAAGGAGTTTCTGCTTGGTGTTTTGAATCTCCAATTTTCTTTGCTGATTGGATAACCTGAGTTCTTGTTATGGACGTTTTTTCAATTTCACATAAAACGTTCTTTACATAATGATGTCATATAAATCAGTCCGTAAACACAATGGTTTATACTGTTTCTTATTCAAAAAAAGTATTATCTGCACCACCAACCAATACATTTATACCACCTATGATGTTTTTTCTCTCTCAACAATCTTTACCATTAGTGTAATTGGTAGGTATAAATTTGAAAATTATGTGACAAGTATGTATTGGTTGTTGGTATGGGTGATGTGGTACCCCTGTGGTATCCTTGATTTTCTCTAGAGTGATAATTGTAATGCCTTGAGGCTTGTGCCTTGACTCAAGTTGCAGAATACCTTCCCTATTAGAAATTTTTGGGTTTGTTTAGCAATTGATTTCATCATCTTATTGGATGTAGTTTTGCCGGTGGGCTGTTCTGTCATCACCATTTTTTATTTCTTTGCAGGGCCGACATGCTTTGGTTTATGATATTCAAACAACGAATGAGACTTGGGAATGGGTTAATCTGAAAGAGGTAATTATTGTTGCCCATTTCATAGCTGATACCTTGGTGCAGCAACCATCTCAATACATTGGTAAACATAAATTTTATATCTCTGAGTTAGTCTTTTTGAGGGCTCCGCTGGTCCTTGGGATTCTTCTTTTTCTTTTATTATTTATTTATATAAAAGTGTACAGATTGTTTCAGTAATTTGTATAATGATTCTTTATAGTTTTACATACCCCCATCAGGCTTTTCTGCTGATTGAGTAGACACCTGGTCCACATAATAATTTATTTTCATATTTCCCAGTCAAAAGTAAAATTGATTATCCTCATCCTTGTATAAAATTTGGAACTGTTTCCAAATGTGTGCTTGCACATTTTGATGTATTGTTCAAGGTGTAAGTTGCACTAGGTTGGGTTTTAGCGCACCCGAAGGTAGGTTGTCAGGGTTTGTGAGAAGAACTTTGCCTTATTTTAATGCTATAAAAAATTTAAGATTGTGTTGTCACAGTATAGTAAATCAGTATTTTTCACTTTCTTTTTGTTTTCATAACTTCACGCCCGCCCACTTTGTATTCATGTGTGATGTGATGGTCCTGTTTCATTCCTACATGTTTAGTTTTTAGTGAGTGTGGCTTTGGTGTTCTGTCTCTCTCTTTGAGGATTGCATTTTTTTTTGCCAAGTATTTAAGCTTTAGGTGTTCTTTGTCTGTCTTATTTATCGTAGTTGGTAACAAATATTATTAGTGTAATGGTTACAGATTTCTCATGAAGATATACGGTGGGATGGTGAGGACCCAGGTGTATCATATCGAGGGGGGCACGGTGGGCAAGGCCATGGAGTTAAGAAACCTTTTGGCCGCGGTAGTCATCCTCCAGGTGCTGGAAAAGGGAGAGGATCCTCAAAGGGTCAGGGTCAGGGTCAGGGTCATGTTCAACTTAGAAAAGAATTTATGCCATCACAGAATAGGATTGAAAAGAATGATTCTGATGATATTGAATTACTTAACACAGAGACACTAGTACAGGAGGTATGTTATGATTTCAGTCAATTCGTTGATCCATTATCATGTCAGTTTCTTACATTTCTTCTTAACATTAACAGGTGGAGAAGATTTTCAATGCAATTCATCCAGATCCTCTAGAGCTCAATAAGGCAAAGAAAATGCTGAAAGTAAGATCATTGGTGTATGCTGATCAATTTCTCGTGAACCCTTGTTTTGCATTTCAAACTTGACCATTGTCATACGCAATGCAGGAACATGAGCAGGCACTACTTGAAGCAATCTCAAGGCTTGCAGATGCATCTGACGGTGAAAGTGGTAATAAATACATGTCTACACGTTAATATGTTTTGCATTCTTCTGCCTGTAGTTTTTGTATCACTTTTGTTTGACGATTGACATTGTTGTCTTACTGTTGTCAGTGACTAAAGACGAAATAGTTAAACGGTCACACCTTCATGTGTATTCTCTGTCAGTAATCATCTGTAATTTTATTTTTATTTTTTCCTGTTTTGCTTTAATTCAGATGGAGAACAACCATTTTCACATGGACAGCTAATGGAACATGAATGACAGTGGAAGCACCACATCAGTATACCAACTTGAACCCCTCTAGGGCCAATAAAAAGAAAGGACCATGGTTTTGAAGTTGATAACCGAATGGTTGGAAGGTCAAGTTGGCATCATATAAACAAAAAGATGGGAAGATATCATCGAGTTTCGTTTATTTATTTAATTTTTTTTTTTTTCAAATTGTTGGATTTTTGCCTCTTTGCAGGGACAAGAAAATGGCTAATGTAACAATGCAGTGCCCTAACTTATGATGCAGAATCATTTGGAACAGATCTCATTCCTGCACTTCATCCTTTTCGGATGTTGGTGTCAGCTTGAGAGCTAGGTCTATAATGTAAAATCATTTATAGAAGCATCTAACAATGTAAAGATTGATTTTTTTCAGTAAACTTTCTCTGCTTCTGGATGGTTGATTGCACTATTCCAATGGCCCTTGAAATACAAAGCTCTTTTTCGGAGAAATCCTTGCTAATCCATTTGCTTTTAATGATGTTTTGAGCATGTTCACCAATCCATCATTCCTGCAACTCAAAACCCAGGAAGAAATTAATTAATTCAAACATGCAATAATGGTGAACAACTCAAATGTATCCAAAACACAGCAGAACAAGTAAATTAATTGAAGCCGCAATCATGGAGAACAACACAAATCTATTTTAGTTTACATCTCTATATCTAAAAATAAATCAAAGTTCTTTAATGCAAAAAATTGCTACTTAGGGAATCTCGTACCTTTAGTTTCATTAGCAATTGCTAACTGCTAACTACCAAGGCTTCAGTTGCTGCAATGTTGCGATGAAACTCCAGGATTAACTCCAAATGAGCACTAGGCTTTTGATGTTATGTGAGCATTCCGTTATCGTGCTGCTTCACTTCTGAATAAACATTCATGGTGGCCATAAGTCTCAAAATCTGGATCTGGTGAAGTCTCCTGATAACAAGAGAACCAGGATAGTAAGCATCTATACCTAAAACACAGATTAAGTCAATACACTATAAGTAATGATGAAATGGTTGTCGCTGCAGTTTTCCCTAATGCTAAACAGAATCAATTTTGAATGCTAAAAGTAAAATATTGAAGCATTTCAGATTTCATAACCAACAGAATATGTTCGGCATAGGTTACATACCTTCAGGCCTCTAACTCAAGCAACAGAGAATCGCAGAAAGCGGTTCAAATAAGCTTTCATTGATTTCTTCTGTATAGGGCATGCTTGCCTCGGTGATATATAAGGCCTGCAGCTCTGCATTTATAGAAGCAAACTTATAAGAGTATACATGAAAATGAATTTAAGAAGATTATAAATTAAGCTCACAGTTTACACTCAGGCAGACAGAGACCATATCACCATACATTCTATATTTCTATGTACAACAACAATGCAGAAAAGTACTGGCAGGGTTATGGATTAAATAATGAGAAACCAGATAACCTACTAAATACTTGGAATGGGAATTTGACGGGTACTCAAACCCCAATGGCACATATCTAAAAACAGAAGAAGTGACACAAGTAGACTATGAGATGAGTACACCCGGATACAAATTCAAACCCACTTCAGACATACATTTACCATGTATAAACCAAAATAGAAGTTACGTCTGTTACGAAACCATGATCAGTGCATCCAACAGTATTGTCATGTCTCTAATTAGAACTGGTTTTTGCCTTTTCGGACATCAAAATGAACAGAGACTCTTGAGTCCATTACACTCCCTACTTGAATACAACCATAAAACAATGCTAAAGTCCTCTGAAAATTTAACCAGTTATCAGTCCAAGAACAAATCAAACCTACTTCTAAAATCTACAGAGCCGTTTTTATAGATCATTTATTAGCACACATGGGATCTGCTTCTCTGGAACCTTAGCATCGTTTATTAGCACACATCGGATCTGGTTCTCTGGAACCTTAGCAATAGCTTGGGATAAAACTGCCTAAAATTTAACCATTCACCTTATCTTGTTTAACAGATTAAGTTATTCAATACAATTAATTAACTCTATTGCATAAAAAACAAGTGAATAGATGTAAATCTGAGAATCTAATGGCTCCAATTCAGCATAAAACAGATCATATCAAGCAAAAAAATCACCATAAAGGATCAAGATACCAATCAAAAACCTATAATAACCCAGTACTTCCAATTCATGATAATCAACCAATACCAATACCAAAACAAAACAAAACCCACCTCAGAAACACTAAATTTAATCTTCATAAAACTTTCCAAGAATCAAAACCTCAATCAAGCCAAGAAAATTATTTCATTTTGAAAATTTTGGTACTTAACAGAGCACTTTCATGTTGTTTCATTCCCATGCTCCATAAAACAGATCATATCAAAACAAAACCCTAAAAACATAATAAGCTTCAATTTACCAAACTCAAAAACACATTCACGATCATCAACCAAGCTCAATACAAAAACAAAACATAACCCACCTCAGAAACACTCAAACCAATCTTCAAAGCAAAACTTTTCAACAATTTAAAGGCTCAATCGAGCATACAAATCAATGATCACCCATCAAAATAAAACCCTAGAACCAAACAAACACAATCAATTTAATCAAAAATTACTTGTTAAGGAACCATTACATTACTGAGTCTGAATGAAAATTGCAAGAGAGAGAGAGAGAGAGAGGGTTGGCGGTTGAGGCTGTCCTGTTGCGGAAGAAGAAAAAGGATAAAGAAATTTTTATTACAATTTTGAGTTGTTTTTTCACTAAATATTTATATTTTCCCAGGTATTTTTTTTTTTATATATATATTTGAATAATATGATTTTATATACAAAATTATTTTTCTATATAAGAAAGCTTGCTTTATACTATTCAAAAATAATTTTTAAAAAATAAATTACTCAAAAATAATGGTTTTTATTTCCCTTATTTTAAGAAGAAAATTTATTTAAAATTCATATAAACTATATTACAATATATATTTCTCTCAAAGTTTTCATATAATTAATTTTATTTTTCTATTAAACTTTTAAACGAAAACCTTAATTAATTATATTTGTGATATAAATATCCAATAATGTTTCTATGTTACCAAGCATAATACTAGTAACATTGAATTATTTGATGTTGTCAATAGGACAATATGTAAGGTTGTAGTTTCTTATTGAACAATGTTACAGTTATCGAAGAATATATATCGAATTCATGTATCGAATGACGTAACATCAACTTGTTTTTTTTTTAAAAAGAAATTCATAATTAATCGACGATCAGAATAGTACCACGTCATTCAGTGCATAAATTCGATGCGCATTATTCGATAATTATATTATTTTCTTTTCATATTAGTGTTATTTAATAACAAATTATGAATATAAATTAAACGATATATTATTATAAAATCACAACAAATAATTGGTAAATATTTCAATTTTGATGTCGTAATCAATAAAAAGTTAATGATTGATTACGAGAAATAATTGGTAAATACCAATTCGATATTAATGATTGAGCAAGAGATAGTACTATTGTAATATTATTAGAATGCCCACGTAATTGTTATAGTTTAAAAAATAATCAATTAAGTTTTAAGATACATCGATAAATATTTGGAGTAGTATTTTTGAAATAAATATTTAGAATAGTATTTTTAAAATATTATTATTAGGTAGAGCTGAGGTAGAATTTGAAAATTAAAAATAGTTGAATAATTTAAGATAGGTTTTTAAGAATAGAGAAACAAATATGTATTTTGATTTGGAATATGAATGAAATAGGGAAACAAACGCGTATTTTAGTTATTTAGAGTAGTATTTTTGAAATAAGATAGAATTTAATGATTATTACGAGATAGGATTTGAAAATAAAAAATAATTAAATAATTTGGAATAATATTTTAAAAATAGGGAAACAAATGTATATTTTGATTTAAAATACAAATAGAATATTTAAACAAATGCATTGAAAAGTATTTGGTAAACAACTTTTAAAACCAATTAAGTTTAAAATTGATTATTCATAGTCTGTTTTATAAAATCAGCTTTATAAAATCATTTTATTTTCAAAGCTGATTTTGTATGTGTATATGATAAATATACCCATATAAATTCCTTGAATTATAAAGTTAACTTAAATAAACATTTGATTTATTAAATAAATAATTTAATAATTTATCTATAAATAAATTGAAATACCCGTGCCAACACCAATGGTAGTCAACCACCGGTCAACAATAACCAACAAGGGCACGTGGGTGCCACATTCGATCCTATCAGTATTAGAATCTTCCGACATGACGGAATTCGACTAAATAACCGGATTCCAACGTCGGCGGCCGAATATTCCTTTACCTTCTACGGCCAAAATAGACATTAGAATCTAGTGATATAAAGAGGATGGCACAAATATATCATCTTTGATCATCGGTCAATTGTTGTTGACCAGTCGTTGACCGGCATGACTAGTCAACAAATTTTTTATTTTTTTGTTGAATTTATAATATTTATTAAATGCTTATAAATAATAAAATACAAAATTAGAATAATGAATATATTTTAAAAAATAAAAATTTCTTTTTAATCCGTGTGTACATGACAATAATTTCAAAGTCTAATTCACCAAATACATAATCATAGGGTCCGTTTTGTTCATTATTCTGATAGTTTTTAGAATACTATTTTAAAAAAAGTTAAATTGGGTGAGCATTACGATGTAGAATTTAAAAATTAATAAAAATATCCCTTATATTTATTTATTTACTAAACACCCCTATAATAAAATATTTAAAGTTAACAAAAACACCCTCAACCCACTCTTTAAATACGAACAGTCAGCCACCACCGCCAAAGGGTGGCCGAAGTCACCGTATCGACGCATGACCTGCTGGATCTTGCCGGTCGTGCGTTGACACAATCTTTTCTGGCCAGATCCACCGGTCGTGCGTCGATACGACATTTTTTAGCCAAATTCATGATAGATCTGGCCGAAAAATGTCAGATCGACGGCTAGATCTGGTTGCATTTGGTTGTCAACGACAACCGAAGATACAACCGTCGTTGAAGATTGTCTACGGCCAAAAATCTGGCCGTAGATTTGGTTAAAAAAGCTAGATCGGCCAGATTTAGCTAACAGTGCGTCATTACATTAGATTCCAACCAACTTCCGACAATGATAGTCAGAATCTGGTAAATGTGGGTTATTAGGGTGTTTTTGTTAATTATTAAAAAAAATTTTTAGAGTTGTTTAGTTAAATTATCAAATTTATGGAGTTTAAAAAAAATTGATTAATTTAAAATAATATTATGAGAATAAGTGAACCAAACAAAAATTTTTTGTTTAACTTTATTAGAAAAACAACTATGCGCCAAAGCGGAGCCATAGATTTTGAAAATCAAAATAGCATTTATTTACCAAACACTTTCCAAATTATTTTGAAAGTTGATTATTTTCAAAGTTGGGGAAAAACTGATTAAATTATAAATGTTGATCATCCATTCATATCATCAAATTGAATTTAAATAAATTTAATTTGGATCCAAACAAAACCAATACAAAATCTTATTAAATTAAATTACCAACATTATTCCACATGTACTTCTCTAAACAAACGCAAAATATTCGGACAGTCCCTTATAGTTCAACATCTTTACAATAACAACCCTAAACAAAAATTAAAGAAGATCTTCATGACATCAAACCTGAGCCTTCAATGCCTTCTTCAACTCCTCGTTCACATCTCCCTCCATCGCCGCCGATCTCTTCTCGTTACTCCGGCGACCCGAATTCAAATCCCGGGTCGGGTTCGGGTTCTTGTTTACGATTTCTTGTCGAAGATCTTCGACAGCTTTCTTTAAGAAACCATTCTCGGTTTGCAAAATCTCCAACTGTCGTTTAACGTTAAAACACAGCTCGGCCATATTAGCGTTACCCGCCACGCCCAGTTCCTGGCCCATTAGCAGTTGTTTTTTGTTATCTTTGTTTTTTTCTTTCGAATCTGCGCCGTCCACGTGTTCAATCCCGATCTTGTTCATAACCAGAAACGGAATCCTCTTAAAATTGATCCCAGCCGTTGGTTCGGCACTCGTATCCGCAGGAACCCTAACTCCCCATCGGATGTTCACGACGGCACGTGACTTCACCGGCAAAGCAGTCCTCGCCGCCATCTCGACACCGGATAAAATCCCGGCGAAATCAGCCGCGGATTTCGACGGCGAAAGGGTGAGCTTCTTCAACATCGGAGACTCCACGACCTCAATCGACGAATCATCCTCCCCTGAAACGGCGCCGTTCTGCGGCTTGAACACAGACGACTGAGACTTCTTAATCGAGAAGTCACCGAACTGCGGCTTGAAGTGAAGCATGAAGCTAGGGTTTCCACGGCCGAGCAAATTGAACTCGGCGCTCATCAACATAGAGCTCGAGATCGGCGAACCGAATGGTCCAGTTCCGGTTTTAACCACCAACGAGAAGGGGTTCCACGTGTCGTTAGGACGGTAAGCAATCTTGACGGACGGTCCAGATTCGAAGAAGGTGGAGAGATTGAGAGTGAGCTCCTTGGACTCGCCGGCGATGATGCCGGATTGAAACGGCACGCCCAAGATTGAGAGAGGGACTTTGGCTCGCAGAAGGGGCTTCTGGTCTTCGCGAAATTTCAGAGAGGCTTTCATGTTGAGGAAATTTATGAAATTTTTATGGGGAAGATGAAGAAGGGGGAATTTCTTATATGGGGTTTTGCGGGATTTTGAAAATGGAGAAGGTGAAGAAGTGAAGCGGAGATTCCGCCATTTTTTGGATTGATTTTGGAGGCGTCGGGGGTTTCAGTTTTCGGTCAGCATGTGTCTTGATTGGGGATGCGATTGAAATGACTTAATTTAAAATTTTGAGTTTTCGAAATTTTATTTATTAAATGGGAGTATTTTTTTTAATAACGCAACTTTGTAATATAAAGCTTTCTATTTAACGGCCCATATGGGTCCGTTAGTTTAATTATATTTTTTCAACCCTATTAATACTATTTCCAAAATAAACTTTTGTTTTCTTATTTTAAAAATACTATTATATTTTTTCAATTTCTTTAAACCCCTTAAGTTTATTAATTTAACTAAATACCCTCCAAAAAAAAGTTTAGAAATTGATAAAAACACTCTCACCCACCCATATTTGCCAAATTCTAGCCACCACCGCTAGAAGGTAGTTAGAATCTGGTATAATGACGCACTACCGATTGAATTTAATCGATAGTGCACCGATCTATCATTTATCGGCCAAATCCACTGTGGATTTGACCGAAAAAAGCTAGATCTACTGCCAAAGATCTGGCTATTGACAGCTAGATCTTTGGCCGTAGTTGGTCTTCAACGACAGCCAAGACATGGTCGTCATTGACCATCAATGATGGCCATATCTTTGGCCGTTGTTGACGACCCAACACGGTCAATAACGGCCAGATTTGACCTTTTTCGGTCAGATCCATGTCATCTTTGTGTACAACCGATCAGATTCAGCCAGTCATGCATCATAACGCCAGATTCCTGGCAACTATGTGTGGTGGGGATGTTTTTATTATTTTACAAAAAAATTATATGTTTGGGTGTTAAGAAATTTGCAAACCTATAGGGTTTTTTGTTCATTTTTAAATTTTACTTTGCAA